GTGGTACCATACAAGTATGCATAATATAAATCTTACAAATTTTGTGCTGCAACTGTTAATAAAACACCTATTGGAGGGCTCTAATATATAAGGTAAATTTAAAATGTTAATTTCTGACAGCCAATTTATATTAGAAAGGCCCCCATTTTATAAACCCTTTTTAAATTTTTTTTTGAAGACAGAGACAAAGATAGACAAACAAAATAAAAGGTATTCTGTCTACTTATTCACTTCTCAAATGCCCACAACAGCTAGGGTTAGGACAGGACAAAGTAAGGAGCAGGAACTCAATCAGGATCTCTCACATGGAGTGTTAGGGACCCAGCTACTTGAGCTATCATCTGCTGCCTCCCAGGGTGCACATTAACAGGTAGATGGAATTGGAAGCAGAGCCCAGACTCAAACCCATGCAATCCAATATGAATGCAGTTATCCTAAGCCGCATCTTACCCACTGTGTCAAAGCTGGCCCCAAGTCATTGGCTTTTATTTATTATTTTGAGCAGAGGAGATTATTAATTGATGAATTTTATCCCACTCCTAAAATCCTAATCCTAGCAACAATACAACCCTTCCCTATACCTTTTAACTCCTTGTCTTGCTTACTAGCTTTGTCAGGAACATTGTTTAGATAATTACAAAGCACCTCACTTCATTGAAGTAACTATGGAGGTTAAATAATATTATTATAAATATTATTATTCTCCTATTATACTTACCACCAATGAGAGTACAGTGTAAATTATATCTATAAAATTAGTTCTTCACCATAAGATTAGCAAATAGAAAAATGTTTGAAAATTATCTTAAATCAAAGAAGAAGCAATTAAAATTTTAAAATACATGTGCTCAGGTGATCCACTATTAAAATTATAATTGTAGAATGTAGATGAGAATGATGATAGTTTGATTAAGTAAAATGCAGTATGTATTATTTAACAGGTCAAATTGCTTCCCTTATCATTGGGATGTTTAAAAAGATGACTGATCATATATCAAATGATTGAGGTCCTTGGTTGCAATGAACTGCCTAGGCCTTGAACAGTATCTTTCCCTACTTGATATGTCATGTTAGGATGAACCATGTATAATAGACACTTTTGTAAAAACTCAAAAGTTGTCAGTTTCATATGGTTCAGTATAATAATTTTTAGCAAGGAGAGAATGAATGTAGTACCGTATCACTAAATGCTTAAGTATTTCAAAATGCATAATTCAGAACTTGAGTGTAAAAAAAAAAAATGAAATCCTGTCATTTGCAACAAGATAGACACAATTGGAAACCATTATACATAGTGAAATAAGCCAGTCCCAGAAAGACAGATGTCATATGTTTTCTCTGATCTGAGGTAACTAATAAATTACTTAAAATGTAATGTATTGGAGTAAAACAGATATTTTGAGATTCGATGTTTGTATACAGTGATTGTCTCTTCCATTGAGGAACAGTGGGGTTTTTTTTCCCCTCTTTTTTTTCTCTTTTTCTTCATACAATTTGTTGAACTCTTTTACTTAATGAAGGGTTAACTGTATGATCATTAAGTAAACTGGAAATAGATCTTTGTAAAAATTAAAAGTGGGAGGAAGAGGAAGGGCTGGAGTGGGAGAGAGGGCTGGGGGAGAAGTGTCACTACATTCCTGAATCTACATATGAAATATGGGAAACTTGCATAACTTAAAGAATTTTTTTAAAAAACTACACTTAGATGTGCTAAATATTTGTAATTTTTTTCTCAAGAAAGATAGTGTTTGCTGTTTATTTTTGGCCTCTCAACATCCAAACAGAACTTGTAATTACAATTTATTTTTCTTTGGCTTGTGTATGTGTTTGAAATTGGCATTCATATGTGAATTTTTCTACCTCTACCTAGATAACAAACTCTTTGAAGACAGAGGTTATTCAGTTGTTTTAATTTCAATTCAGTGCTCTGCATACAGAAAGCCTAAAATGAAGTTAGACAAATTATTTGTCTACAGTGCGACTAATTAGCAGTGAGACTGTTCACAGGAAGGAATTAGTGATGCTGTTTAATTTTCCTTTGCAATGCTAAATAGAAAAATATCAATATTTGTATATTTCTTATTTATACATTTCAAAATATGTCAGTCAAATCAGATTTTAAAAATATAATTAGAGATGGACATTGTGGTACGGCAGGATAAGCTGCCAATTGGGACATTTGCGTCCCATATCAGAATTTCTGGGACTGAATCCTGCCCCCACTTCTGACCCAGCTTCCTGCTAATATACACTGTGGGGACAGCAGGTAATGGGTCAAGTACTTGGGTTCTTGCCACCCACTTAGGAGACCCAAACTGAGTTCTGGACCTGGCTTTGCCTTGGCCCAGGCCTGACTGTTGTGGACATTTGCGAGTGAATCAGTGAATGGATGATGGATTCATTCTTTCTCTCTCTCTGTACCTTTCAAGTAGATGAAAATAAATAAACATTCAAAATTGCAATTAAAGCAAAAATGCTTTAATTTGGGAGGACATTGTAATGTAAGGTAAAAATTCACCTAATGAACACTATGATAGTATGCTGTGTTATTCAGATTCAATAAACAACCTTTTAAAATTACCCATTAAGCAGATTGTATAGTATTGCTTCAAGACAATAAATATTAGTATGTGTTTTGTCTTTAATTATAAAGAGTGTATCACAGGTTTGAACTAGAGAGGGTAACTTGGATTTTAATCCCCACTCCTAATAATTATATTGTTTTAATAAGTGACCCAGAGAAAGTATCTTTTCTGATAAGTTTACCAGCTTGTCACATGCACATATCCCCATTGCATCCAAGAAACACTGTTCTGATTATAGGTTATTGCACAACAAAACCTATCAAAACTTAATAGCTTAAACAAAAATAAACTGATAGTTATATTCTTGATTCTGAGCTCAGTTGGATGGTTCTTGTTTAAGGTCTCTCACAGGATTGAAAATACACGGTAGCTAAGGCTAGAATAATCTGCTGCCTGAGCTCTGACGACTCAAACAGATGAGGGCTGAAACACCTAGAGCTCTTTGGGCACTTGTCCCCTCTCTCTTCCTCTCATTCGTGTATATGACCTGTGCATATGGTCTTTCCATCATGGTGGCTCAGGGCTCCAAAGCTGCATAAAACAAGAGGAGAGAGCCAGGCAGAAGTGACATCATATTTTATAACATAGCCCCCAAAAAATCACAAAGTGTCACCTCTGTCATTTTTACTATTCATGGCAGACACAAGGCCCTCTCTGTTTTGAGAGGATGAAACAGACTCCACTGCTTGAAAGGAAAGGGGACACATTCTGGAAGAGCATGTGGAACCAAAAATATTATTGTGGCCATTTTTGGAAAGTACAATCTGCCACAAAAGCTGTGAGAATCAAGTACCGTTGTACCCTTTATTATATTTGTAAAGATAGAATTCTGTAGATAAACTCATGGTATTTATTTTGTAAGCTCTGCATAAATGAGTGTGATCTATGGGACACATATGCATAGATACACACACACACACACACATATACACACATGCACAGGTAGCTAATTCAGTAATGTAGCTGTCTGAAATCTTAAACCAATACTTAAAGATATGAAAAGACAGCCAGGTGTTTCCTTCATTTTTAATAAGACTCCATTTTTTTCATCTTGATCATTTATTCTGCTCTAATAAATTGCTTCAGCCAATTTGCCTTTGCTCTAGTTAATCCAGAACTCCCCTCTGCTTCATTCTTTTAGCATCCTTTACAACATCTGCAAGACTTAATTCTCCCTCAGTGAATCATTTTTTCATCTTTTAGATGCTGACCTAGTCAACACAAATATATCTGTGAAGACTTCTTAAAAATTTACTTGTTATTCAGTTTTCTAACAATTTTCTCTATTCTAATTATTATATAATGGAAGAAGCCACACTGCCTAAGTTTTTGTTTGTTTGTTTGTTTTTGAAAGGCAGAGATACAGAGAGAGACAGGGATAGACACAGAGAGAGTAGTCTTCTATCTGCTTGTTCACTTTCCAAATGACTGCAAGAGCAGGGACTGGGCCAGGCCAAAGCCAGGAGGTTTTTCCAGTTCTGCCATGTGGGTGCATGGGTCAACTACTTGGGCCATCCTCTGCTGCTTTTTCAGGTACATTAGCAGGGAACTGGATCAGAAGTGGAGCAGCCAGAATTTTAACCTGCACTCATAAGGGATGCCAGAACTGCAGGTGGCCGCTTAACCTGCTATGCCACAATGCCAACCCCTACTGCCTAGCTTTTGATCTTTGTGTTCCAGAGGGCAACACTTCTCTCCTTGCAGAGGCACTAACTTTATGTCAAACAGTACTTATAATACTCCTTTTTTGTTTTTTAAATTATGACCTATGTTATTCTAATTTAGTCCATATTATTCGTATTATTTATTGTTTCAGAGATGTGCAATATGGTGAATATACCTGTCTTGGTATGTGGCTGCCCATGAAACCAGAAATTTTGACATTTTCTGCATTATGTTGGACAAATTGATCAAATAAAATGAAGTAAGCAGTTACTTCAATCCAAATATCTGAGATAAGCAGTACTTATGTTTGGGTCATATATATAGTTTGGATATATTTTATGGTAGCTTCACAAACCAAGTTCATACCAAATTTGTTTAAAAGTCAACAAGTAGGGGCTGGAATTGTGGTGTAACAGGGTAAGCCACCACCTGTGACCCCAGCATCCCATATGGGTGCTGGCTCGTGTCTGGCTGCTCTTCTTCCCATCCAGCTCTCTGCTGATTGCCTGGAAAAGCAGTGGAAGATGGCCCAAGTGCTTGAGCCCCTGCACTCAAGTGGGAGACCCACAAGAAGTGCCTGGCTCCTGCCTTTGGATTGGCCCAGCTCCATCCATTTCAGCCATTTGGGGAGTGAACCAGAGGATGGAAGACCTTTCTCTTTGTTGCTTCTTCTCTGTAACTCTGCCTCTCAAATAAATAAAAATAAAATCTTAAAAAGAAAAAGAAAATTCCCAGATACTGGGAATTCAATTACAGAGAGGAGTATGGTGAATGTCATGATAGAGGAATACACAAAAAGATGTGAGGGCCAGTAGAGATAAAGAACCTCTGGTTGAAGGATTAGAAGATCCTAAAATAGATGAGTCATGGGTGTAACAGGTAGGTTCAATGCATAGACATAACTTTGGTGTACTTGGTGTGGCTCCCTTGCCCGCAAAGGAACGACACTGCTCCCAGCTGATCGGTCTTCAGTAGACTTTTATTTAAACAGGATGGAAAGAGAAACCCTTGAGCAAGGGGAGCTCCAAAAGAAAGGGGAAGCTCCCGTACTATATCACAAACAGCTTATATAGTATATCATTGCAGAAGTATGTAATGCAAGCTTAGTCCATGCTACAGTCCATGCGGCGGCGCTCCAATCGGGTGCCTGATCACGCACAGTCCATGCGCTCCTTGTCCAACCATAAAGGTGATCACGCGCCTTCATCCAATCAAGCTCCTGGTCATGTAGCAGGCGACTCGGGTGCTAACAACAAGCTTCCACCTGGTGTTTTCTCAGCCTTGGTCAGTAGGAAAAGAAGTACGGGAAGCCCCAAGGCCATAGTTGTTTTGACTCTAGCTTGGGGTTATGAAACGGTCCGATATCGCAGCTCAACAGAAACCATAAACATCCACACAGCAGTAACTATTGCCAATGGTCAGCAAGCTAAGCCTTAGCATGTGGACCCATGGCCGGCTCATGGGTCCCCACACTTGGATGACAGAGAATAGTGTTTGATATTGAAATTGTACAAACAAAACCAAGTTTAGCTATTAACAATGCTGTCTCACTGTTCTGTTTCTCCATTCACCTATTTATTTATCCATCCATCTGTTCAACTATTCTTCTACCAGTTCATGTTCATACTTATTTCAGAAAGATGGCTTACAGAAAATTATAAATAGATAATAATCAGTACAGGGAAAATATATATAATTGGAACTTGTGAAGGTGGTAGAACATATAATGACACAATTCATAGTTTCCTACTTTATTATGTCTGATCCGAATTGGGTTTATGTATCTTATAAGCATCCAAGACAAAGCAAAAAATAATCCAGAAGAAAAAAGAAGTCACCAATCAATTTGGGAAAGCAAATTGCTCAGTTAAATATTTATACATACATACGTACATACATATATACACACATACATATATGTATGGCAGTTGAAGTATAAAATAATTGACAGTATCTCAAAAGTATATCTGATATGCATTAATAATAAATTAATGATAGCAGATTTACCAATTCAGATTTACCAATTCAGATTTACCAGTTTACCAATTTTATCTAAATTTACTAATTTAGATAAAAAAATACATAAATTTACAACTGTTTGAAAGTAGTTCTATGGGGATGTTGATAACATTATTCCTGTTTTAGAAAATACATAATAAAAATACATAATAGAAATTAATGCATATTAAGATAATGCAGCTAATAATGATTAAACTTTGGATTTGGATTTGAATCCATGTTTCTATTACTTTGATGGGTAAATATATATTTGTAAGGGATAGAGACATGGTGAAGAGAAAGAGTAGAGGCAGCAGCCTTTCACAAAGTTTGGTTGTGACAAGAATAATTGAAAATACACTATTGGGGTTAAAATAAAGACATTGAGCACAGGAAACATAAGGCTTCTTGCATGGTGAGAGGAAGCAGCCTGGAAAGGCTCTTTAGTGGAACAAACCCTAAAGAAAGATGGGATCAAGACAATTGATGAGTTTACCCTTGACAAGGAAGAACTACTCTCCCTTGAACAGATTAAGACTAAAAAGAATATTGCCAAAGAGCCCAGTAAATTTATCCCAACTATCCTTCTGTAAGGTTTGGAGTCAAATGATCTCCTGTTTGTTTAGTTTTCTATATGAAATTCCTTCAAGTAAAGTATTACTGTTGAAATTTGACCCCTAAAGGGAAAAGCATTTAAAAGTAAAGGAATAAGATGAAATCAAGTACTATTTTTCTTATTGCACTACATTTCCTGCCCACATGAGATCAGTCACACCTGGAAATGTGTACTATAGTCTAGGTGTCAGAATAACTAGATTTCCCTTTTAGCCATGCACATGATATAAACCTAAGATACGTCTGGCATTTTGAAAAGTCAGTCCACCTTCTGGATTTTCCACTTTGTACTATTTAATGTGCTCAATGAGAGCTTCCATATCATCATGTAAAAAATAAAATTTAATATTCACATACTTGAATCCTATTGAGAATTAAATATGCCCACATTGAGGCCAGCACATATTACATGGTAAATAACTGTGAATTCTTTTCTTTCAGTATCTTAAATCCTCACACAGCACACATCAAGATCTGACAGCTAGATAAGGATCCTTAATAGAAGAGCAGTAAATGCCTTCTAGTCTGACATTTATTCATTATGTCATTTCCAATTCTTTCAATAAATATTTATGCATTGCTTTTATGTGACAAGCACCAAACTCACCTTAAAAACAATGCAGAACCTCAGGTTTGAGCAGCATTCCCCTGGCTGTCCTATTTATCTTGAACCTTGAGTCTACTCCCTGGTTTAAGTTCTTTTCCTTGATTGTTGTTATTTTTCTTGTATTGATATTTAAAATCCTGTATCTTAGTGAAAATCTTGATCCCCTTAAAATAAGATGCTGGTTTCTGCTTCCTGTGTCATATCTTTCCTGAGTTTATATCCTGCCTGTAGCTGATAATTTGTCTTATGTATGACATAACTTGGCCAGGATTAATGACATAACATATCAAATGTACTTTATACACTTTAGGGAAAATAATATGAGAAAGACAAACTGTAAATTGCATCTTTTATCAATGAAAGGAAAATATAGTAAAGTTCATAATGAATTAATTATTTTCTGTTCAATCCTTCCAACCTATATTTTCTCATTTAATCCTGTTTCTCAAGGAACACTATAGACATTGCATCAGACAGATCTAGGCAGGGAAATGATGGCCTATGCTCCTGCTGCATAATTGACAAGACTTGATGTGTATTAACCTTAAGAAATGCAACAGAATAAACACTTGGACTGTCCAGAGCAGAAGGTTATTGTCATGCTTCAGTCTGAAAGTCAAGGGGAGGAAGCAATTACTAAAACCTCAGAGTTAAAAATCATATGGAGAGAGCGCTTTGAAGGGGCTATAGCCTTTGGCAGGGGGAATTAATCCAAAGAAACCCGGCAAGAAAAGCCAAGGAAAAATAAATGCTTCAATCTTATTATCCTCCTATTTTACTCTATTTTATTTTATTTGCCATCACTTACTTAAACTCGAACCAAAACCAGAGAGCCAAGAAGCTCATTCTTTATTTCATGTGGATCAGCATTCTGGGCAGAAGGAGCAGCCTGAAAGCCGAGGAGTGCACCTGGAAAGGCAAACAGGAGACATCAGAGGAGACAAATAATCTATGAAGGCAGTGCTACAACAACAATGTAAACACAATGTGAAGCAAACAACAAGCCAAGAGAGAACTCTGGACAGAATCTGATGGCATGAGAGGCCAAGGTGGAAGACAAATGGAGGACTTTGGGCTGAAAATAATATTCCCATTGACAATTTACTAAGACAAAAAAAGTTCTTAGCATTCTTAGAAGAATTTTAATAAACTGATACAATTGGAATACAGAGAAGTGAACAGAAACTATGAGGCCAAATAGGAGGTGGAAAGCCAAGTTAAGTAGCTTTGTACTTATCAGGCAAACAGTGGAAAGCTAGAGTATTTTAAGGAAAAGAGTGATATAATCATACTATTGATAAGAAAAAAACTTGGTAGGGGAGGAAAGTGATAATGGCACCATCTTTACTAGTAGTGTTCATATACCCAATGAAAAGCTAATTACAACTTATTCCGCATTGTAACTAACTGGATTATACTAAGGCATTTAATCTCCACTATAATATATAAAATAGGTATTTTATCTTCTCTACCATTATTTACGATTAAATTGAGACACAGTAAATTAGAGACAACTGCCTAAGTTCACACAACTAGCAAATGATAGAGGTGATATTCAAAAACAGCAAGTCTGGTTTTAGATTCATATCAGTAAATCTGATTTCTAGCTCCTATGACAGAGAGACAGGACTCATATAAAATTACAGAAACTTCTCTTTCAATTTACCAGTTTCCTTTTTGAACCTTCTCATGGATCAAACTCCTGGCATCTGTAACTTTACGCTCCAACAAGATGATTGTATTCCAGACTCAAATATATATGCTTAAAAGCTCACTGGTATTTCTAAAAGTATTCCTTTCGTTGAACTATGGAACCTCATGCTGCCTTATTCCACATTTTTCAACTACACACAAATTCTGTCACGGTGCTTTGCAGAAAAAATGAAGTGTAAGCCATGAAAGTTAGACAGGTGTGCACTTTTTTTTTATTTTACTTTTTTTTACAGGCAGAGTTAGATAGTGAGAGAGAGAGAGACAGAGAGTTATAGACAGTGAGAGAGAGAGACAGAGAGAAAGGTTTTCCTTCCATTGGTTCACTCCCTAATGACCACTACAGCCGGCGCTGCACTGATCCGAAGCCAGGCGCCGTGTGCTTCCTCCCCGTCTCCCATGTGGGTGCAGGAATCCAAGCACTTGGGCCATCCTCTACTGCCCTCCTGGGCCATAGCAGAGAGCTGGACTGGAAGAGGAGCAACTGGGACTAGTACCTGGCGCCCCAACTGGGACTAGAACCTGGGATGCCGGCACTGCAGGTGGAGGATTAGCCAAGTAAGCCACAGCGCCGGCCAGGTGTGCACTTTTAAATGTAGTGTTCTAGTAGTGATATTCAGCAACTAGAAAGAGGTCGCAAAATTCAGTCAGTCTAGATCACCCTCAACTTCTGCCACAGAGTCAAGTGTACGGATCCCTCTTACCTCTGATACCAGTTGCAAGTTCAAGTTCCAAAAGACCACCTTCAGCTTCAGTGATTGTTAAAAAGGCTTGGAACTCGCTGAAAATTGTTGTACTCTTGCCTAAGGCATATTACAATGAAAAGAAACAAATAAAAATCAGCAAGAGAAGGGAAACATGGGGCAGAATCCAGGATAGCTTAGTGTACAGAGCTTCCAGTTGTCCTATCCCAGGGGAGTCATGGAGAACACCAACTTGCCCCACAAAGGGCATGGTACCATGCACAGAATATCACCAAAGAGGGAATTCTTTCAATTTACTGTCCAGAATTCTTATTGGAACTTAGTCATATAGATACACTAGGTTGTCCCCAAGGCATATCTCCATCTCCAACCCTTCCCAAGTTTGACCTGACACCATTTGATTCAAAGTACTCATCATAAATAATATTAAAAGATCTGCCTCAGGGCCTAAGGGTTCTAGATAAACAAAGATAGTCTTATCAGGCATGATATGAAGAAGGTTTACAAATAATCTTCTAGGTGTTGAAGGCAAGGATCAAATGTCTCTTTAGTCAAGGTCAAACTCTGCATTATGCTGAAGCAGAATTAATTTTAATAATACAATTTATTTTGTGCAAGATAGCCAAAACATAATCATTTCAATATAAAATCAACATAAATATATATATATATAAGTGAGATATCTTACATATTTTCTGAATAAGTCTTTGAAATCCTGTGGGAATTTTACCCTTAAAACCAGTCTTAACTTAGACTAGCCACATTTCAAGTGCTTTATAGCCACATATGGCCAGTGACATATGGCAGGTAAAGCTCTATTCTCTCCTTGTCCTTGCTGAGTCTAACAAAGGTTTTTATATCTCTTCTGTAGGCAGCATAACTATCAGTGCTTTCTAATATTTTATTTATTATTATTAAAGTATATTCAATATTAGAAAAGTTTTACTATAACACTTATAGCTGATATTTAAAACATTTTTAAATCCTTATCAACAAATAATCTCTTTACCTTTCACTTGAAATCTAAATTGATATCTCTTTTCTATGTATTTTTCATTCCTCTGATATATTTTGCTTACTTTTAGATTTGTTTCCAACTTGTTCTTAAAGTTCTATTCAAAATAGTTTATGACATGGGAAGCAGGCAACACATCAGACTTACAGAATGACAAACGCCCTAAGCAGCACTCTGACCTCAGAATCAGCCCTTAAGGAATGCAGATCTGGCTGAAAAGCCCATGAGAGCATTACAGGCATGGAAAGCCAAGACACCGTGGCAAAAAATGATCTACATGAAAGATCTATGTGAGTGATACCTCAGTGGAAGGTAGGGGCAATCAAGGAAGAATGTACTTTTCTCAGGGCAGGCACTGTGGTGCAGCGGGTTAACACCCTGGCCTGAAGTGCTGGCATCCCAAAGGGGTGCTAGGTTCTTGTCCCGGCTGCTCCACTTCCAATCCAGCTCTCTGCTATGGCCTGGGAAAGCAGTAGAAGATGGCCCCAGTCCTTGGGCCCCTGCACCCTTGTGGGAGAACTGGAAGAAGCTCCTGGCTCCTGGGTTCGGATCGGCACAGCTCCAGCCATTGCGACCAATTGGGGAGTAAACCATGGGATGGAATACCTCTCTCTCTCTGTCTCACTTCCTCTCCTCTCTCTGTGTAACTCTGACTTTCAAATAAATAAATAAACCTTAAAAAAAAAAAAGAATATTTTTCTCTGAAGGGAGGAGAGAACTTCCACTTTGCTTATGGCCCTGTCTAAATACTGACAGTTTGTGGACTCAGAAGACTTGGCAGCTCATGACAAGAGACTCGGGTGATCACTGATGTCATAAATAAGAATGTCAATTGTTGAATCAGCAACAGGAGTCACTGTGCACTTACTCCCCATGTAGGTCTGCTGTCCTCAATGAGTTGTACTATTATGAGAATGAATGGTAAAACTTGTCTTCAAACAGTACTTTATACTTTGTGTGTCTGTATAGGTGCAAAATGTTGAAGTCATTACTTAGTATAGAGTTGGTCTTCTATATAAAGATAATTAAAAATGAATCTTAATGAAGAATAGGATGGGAGGTGGGAGTAGGAGCGGGGAGTGGGAAAGCTGGTATGGAGGGAAGAACCACTATATTTCTAAAGCTGTACCTATGAAATTTGTACTTATCAAATAAAAGATTTCTAAAAAACCAAAATGGTTTTTTATGTCACTACACGTCCATTTTCTACTCTTGGTGGGGCATGATTTTTTTTTTTTTTTGATCATTTGATGTCTTTTCTCTTTGGATAGCATCTTTGGCAATGCAACATAATAAGAGCAAGACTTCAATAAGAATCTCTAAATATGGCCAGTGCCAAGGCTCACTGGGCTAATCTTCCACCTGCGGTGCCGGCACCCCGGGTTCTAGTCCCAGTTGGGGCACTGGTTCTGTCCCGATAGTTCCTCTTCCAGTCTAGCTCTCTGCTGTGGCCCGGAAAGGCAGTGGAGGATGGCCCAGGTGCTTGGGCCCTGCACCTGCATGGGAGACCAGGAGGAAGCACCTGGCTCCTGGCTTCGGATGGACGCAGCGCACCAGCCGTAGCGGCCATTTTGGGGGGTGAACCAACAAAAGGAAGACCTTTCTTTCCGTCTCTCTCTCTCTCTCTCTCTCTCACTGTCTAACTCTGCCTGTGAAAAAATAAATTAAAAAAAATTTTTAAAAAAGAGAATCTCTAAATATGTACTTGTGTGTGCACAAACCCACCCCATACTAAAAGAAATGCTTGAAATAATTTATTTTTATCTTAATCTGAAAATAAGATGAGAACTTTCAAAAGACTTGAAAATACCAACAGCAAAACTGAACAAGAAGTACTATTAACTATTTGAGAAAATATTTTTCTAGCATTCTCTCTTGTAGTTACAGTTGTTCAATTGTAACTGTGTTTATATTACATTAAAAATGCTATGGATAGTACATGTTATTTACGTGGCTTGTTTCCTTGTGTATAAACTATTAGAAAGAACAAGTGTAAGGGTCACAGTTACCTACAAGGGCCTTCTTTTTTCATCTATTGTGTTACCTCCTATGGTTGTGGAGCACATTCTGAGCTGAGGGTTAGTAGAGATACATGTTAATTATTTTAGATTCGTTCTTCTTCATTAAAATTTTATATTACAGTTCTGATTTCTACCCCCGTTCTCTTCCTTCAACATTTCAAAGATATTAGAATCATACTGTGTTCCACTCTAAATAAATAATTTCTCTCTACTACAGATACCACTTAATATAAAGTCTTCTCAGTACATTTTCTCTTCTTGCTTTGATGCCCTTTTTGTATGTAATTTTGTGGTATGTGTTTATATTGCCTACATCTGTGAGATAGAAATGTCTTTTTGTAGTATTAATTTTTCTGAATTGAGATCATTCTTAATACCTAAACATGGAAAATGATTTTAATTTAACTTATTTATTTCTTAGTCTAGATGTTAGCTTAAAAATTTCCTTTCACCAAGGAAATTTTGACACTTTATTTTTGTTGGTCTGCATATTCTTGTGTGTGTGTGTGTGTGTACATGTATGTTTGTATTTGTCCATTGATATCCCAAGAATGTGGCATGACCTTTAAAAACCCTCCCCATTTTCATATCTGTTAAACAACAAATATGTTGCTTCTTAGGTCAGCTCTCTTAAGCCCTTTCTCCTCTTACAAGTTGAAAATGTTTTTATCTTCTTCTCTTTGTTTTTTGCATTTATGAACAGATAATTTATGTAACATTTATGAACAGATAATTAGTGCTGCTTAATATAGGTGGAATCTTGTTCTTTCCCACTAAAAAAGATGTTTTGTTCTCTTTTAAATGTTAAGATCATCCTTTCTTTTGAAGGTCATAATTGTGTCTTCCTTTAAAGCATTATATGATTTATTGAACTGGACTATCACTTCAAACAACTGTATTTTACTGTAGAAACAATGACCTCTCAATATACTTTACCACCAACCAAATCAGTATCTCCACCATACAAAAATGAAACATATCTAGATGAATGTGTAGCTTTCAAATATCTCCGGACATTTATAGAAAGGTAAAATAGAGAAGTATCTTTTTTTATTTATTTGACAGATAGAGTTAGACAGTGAGAGAGAGAGAAACATCTTCCTTCCGTTGGTTCACCCCCCAAATGGCCGCTATGGCCGGAGCTCTGCCGATCCAAAGCCAGGAGCCAGGTGCTTCCTCCTGGCCTCCCATGCAGGTCCAGGTCCCAAGCACTTGGGCCATCCTCCACTGCCTTCCCGGGCCACAGCAGAGAGCTGGACTGGAAGAGGAGCAACCGGGACTAGAACCTGGTACCCAAATGGGATGCTGGCGCCGCAGGCAGAGGATTAACCAAGTGAGCCACGGCGCCAGCCTCGAGAAGTATCTTTCTAGAAATTACACCTAATGTTATTATATATTCAAATAAAAAAGAATAATTTAAAACAATCATTTAGTAGTTAGAATTGAAATAAAAGCAGAAATTCCGTATTGGCAGCAATAGTAGTAGTATTGCTTTTGAATCTTCCTAATCACAGCTATGAATAATCTATGTATAAAACAAATCTATCCATAAAAATAAATATGACTAAAATCATAAAATAAGACCACCACAAATACCATTTATATACAAAAATAAATAAAATATTTGTTAGATAAAATGTAAGACATTTAGTTAAACTTAGGTAACTATGTAGTTTAGGTGTATAGCAAATATTACATGGTGCATGCTTACATTATATACTATAGGGGCAGGTGTTTGGTATAGTCGTTAAGATGGCCACTTGGGATACCTGCAATCCCCTATCAGAGTACCTGAGTTCAAATCCTGGCTCCTCTCCTGATTCCAACTTTTGACTAAAGAACACCCTGGGAGGCAGCAGATGATGGCTCACGTAGTTGAGTCCCCATCACCCATGTAGGAGACCTGAACTGAGATCCTGACTTCTCTTCAGGAAGGCCCAGATCTGCAGGTATTTGGCAAGTGAACCAGCAGTCAGCCCCCCTCCCACTCTCTCCCCTTCTCCCTCTCCCTTTCCCTCCCTTCCTATCCCCCTTTCTCCCTTCTCTCCCTTCTTCCATTTCAAATTATAGATTGTTCACTAAAATCCAAATTTAATTTAAAATTTTTTTTTTTTTTCTGAATCTATCAACATTTAATGGGCTACAGCTGGTTATGGGGACAGAAATTGTGATACAGAGAATTAAGCTGCCACTTGATAACCTCACATCCCATATTAGAGTGCCAGTTCAAGTCTCAGCTGCTCCACTTCCCATATGCCTATTTGCTAATGTGTCTGGGAAGTAGCAGATAATGGCTCAAGTACTTGAATCCCTATCACCTATGGGGGAGATCAGGATGGAGCTCCTAAGTCCTGGATTGACCTGGCTATGGAGGGAATCTGGGGAATGAACCAGCAGATACATTTCTTTCTCTCTCCCTCTCTCTGCCACTCTGTCATTCAAATAAATAAATATTTAAAAAATAAAATAAAACTGGGGACAAGCTCTACTACTGCATAACCTGTGTAGAATCAACATTTGTGTTAGAGGGTGGTAATGGGACTTCTCACAGACTTGAGAATGTGAAAAACCCTGAAGCCTAACAGGTACTCCTTGGAAAGAGCAAGAAGCCACAGGAGAATAGCTGCAACCAGCAAGGTGTTCTAGGTTCTCCTGGCTACAGTAAGTGCAAGAGGCCTGCAGTGAGCTCTGAAGGGGCTGGGTTACTAACTAAATCCACTGGATCAAAGGAGGTTCATTTTGGAACAGAATCCAACATTAGAACAGAGGCAGTAAATATAAATACACAAAAAGGGCCACAAACTAGAATACCTCTAGGCCACATTTTTCAACTTCACAACACAATAGAAAAGGGAGTTCTAACGCCTGGAAGCTGGAAGATCCCTGGAAAAGGGATCTTGATCCATTTCTTCTTTCTAAATGTTCATTCTTTAGGGCCTGGTTGAATAAACAACAGCACATCCACACAACAGATTTAAGCTGTGGCTGTGCAAAGCAACGAAGAGTATCTTTATATGCAACTATGGAGAGAGCACCAGTATATACTGTTGCATGAAAACGCATAGAGTCATAAACCACATTAAGAATTATATTTTATGTTCAAATAAAATTTAAAGTTACACTGCAAGAATGATATATGTTATAAAATAAAACCAATATTGAGTAAATTTTGGGTTTGTTTCTTGACTTTCTTATAAGAATAAATAGTAGAGCTGATACATTCAAGGAGAACTCTTTTAAAAAGCTACATGGCAATCATGAATTAATAATGGCTTTGAACCTACAATAATGTTGAATCTGATAATTTTCACAGAGAAGTAAAATGAAAAGGGAGTGTAGTTTCAAATTTCAGTAATATCTATAAAAATTGCTTTCCAAACCATTCTTCATGGACAAGAATGATATAAATGATACCAAATTATATTTTAAAAGGCAATCAAGTCTTAGAAACCAGATGAATTATTCATAATAGGTTTTCTCTGATATTTTGAAATCCGGTATTTAAAAAATAAATTTTAAAAAACCAGCAACAACAAGAAACACCATGGAAATAATATTTTGGTAATGCAAGTTCTAGAAGTGCTCTTGTATTACACATAAATTTTCATACTAATGTAATAAAATTATTTCAAAACCTCCCAAATTTGCTTTAGTTAGACATTTTTTATTCCTTAACTGAGCCCACCACAAAACTTTTTTTTTTTTTTTTTTTTTTTTTTTTTTTTTTTTTTTTTTTGACAGGCAGAGTGGACAGTGAGAGAGAGAGACAGAGAGAAAGGTCTTCCTTTGCCGTTGGTTTACCCTCCAATGGCTGCCGCGGCCGGCGCGCTGCGGCCGGCGCACCGCGCTGATCCGATGGCAGGAGCCAGGAGCCAGGTGCTTTTCCTGGTCTCCCATGGGGTGCAGGGCCCAAGCACCTGGGCCATCCTCCACTGCACTCCCTGGCCACAGCAGAGGGCTGGCCTGGAAGAGGGGCAACCGGGACAGAATCCGGCGCCCCGACCGGGACTAGAACCCGGTGTGCCGGCGCCGCTAGGCGGAGGATTAGCCTAGTGAGCCGCGGCGCCGGCCCTCAAAACTTTTAAAACTCAAAAATATTTGTTCATTTATTAAATGATTATGACTATCATTCACTTAAATATTACCATATCGATATATGACTTCACATAAGAAATAATTTTATTTATATCTTTCGAAGTTGCTGCTGATGCTCATGGTGTTTATTGTTGCACCTTGATGAGGTAGCATTGTGAGATTTTTTTGACCAGCAAGAACTGAGTTGATCTTACTTCCCCGTTTACAGCAAAGCATCAATAGGTTTTAATTCACATATTTTAAGTGTATTATTATTTGTTTGTCTTCTCCATCTACTCCTTAAATGCTGGTGTGTATTTAGTGCATACCCTAGAGATCACATTGTATGCATTTATTTAATGCATATATGTAAATTAGTTTTGGTTTTCATATCTAATTTACTATTATATAAATAGCTTCTGCTGTTTTCTCATTTGACATTGTATCTCTTGTTACATGTTAAGCTAGGATTTGTTCTTCTGAATAAACTATGATATGCCTGACTACATGTTATTCACCCATTTATATATGTTAAATGTATATATAGAGAGAATCATTTATATATATGTTGCCTCCAATTTTTTATTCATATTTTACTACCAAAATAAAAATCTTCATAAGTATCTATATATTTGAGAGTTCATGAAATTTGAAAAGTTTATGGAAAATGTGTATTATGGAAAAATTATGCATGGATTTCAAAATCTTTACTTATCTTTTAATTTCATTTCCACAAATTTGTTGAAGTACCCTTGTATGTCTCAGAGTGACTAGGCATTTACTTAATTTTGCTAAAATAATTTGCTCTGTAAAATGCTTTCATTAATGCCCACTCTCAAATATCACAAGAACCCAATTTCTTGCCATTTTATTTATTTATTTATTTATTTTGACAGATAGAGTTAGACAGTGAGAGAGAGAAAGAAAGGTCTTCCTTCCGTTGGTTCACCCCCCAAATGGCCACTACAGCCGGAGCTACGCTGATCCAAAGCCAGGAGCCAGGTGCTTCTTCCTGGTCTCCCATGTGGGTGCAGGGCCCAAGCACTTGGGCCATCCTCCAGTGCCCTCCTGGGCCACAACAGAGAGCTGGACTGGAAGAGGAGCAACCGGGACTAGAACCCAGCACCCATATGGGCTGCCGCCGGTGCCACAGGCGGAGGATTAACCAAGTGAGCCATGGCGCCGGCCCTCTTGCCATTTTAAAGAACCATTGATACTTCCAATACAAATCATGTTACCAATTTATGGGATAAAGTGTTATTGATATGTTTTTATTTACACTTTTTTATGAATTAATTGAGAGTGTTATTAATACTTATTAGCTATTGGGTTTTTTTCCTTCTTTATATTTCCTGTTTTAAACTTTTACCCACTTTTTATATTGTGGGTATTAATTAAATATATTAATTAAATACATTTTAATTAATTTATTTATTTGAAAGTCAGAATTACACACAGAGAGAGGAGAGGCAGAGAGAGAGAGAGAGGTCTTCCATCCCATGGTTCACTCCCCCAATTGGCCGCAACAGGCCAGAGCTGCACCGATCCAAGCCAGGAGCCAGGAGCCGGGAGCTTCCTCTGGGTCTCCCACGTGGGTGCAAGGGCCCAAGGACTTGGACCACTTCTATTGCTATCTCAGGCCATAGCAGAGAGCCGGATCAGAAGAGAAGCAGCTGGCGCCCATATGGGATGCCGGTGCTTCAGGCCAGGTCATTCACCTGCTGTGCCACAGCAATGGGCCTGGTCCTCTATAATCTAAATTGTTAGACTTGCCAGTTAAAGATGTTTCAAATAGTACCAAAACCAAGGAATTGCCTAAAAATAGAACAATTTGAGAATGTCAAAGCAGTACAGGAGCAAACCAAAAGCTTTCAACAGCCCAAAGTGTAGTTATCCATGAGTATATACTAATATACCTAAATGATTGAAACATAAATGAACAGGGAAAATAGACAAATCTGTGCAAACTTTCAAATAATTTGTTTAAATACTGCCCCCTTCAGGAGATTAGTATAACACCAATCAACTCTTAAATCTGATCAGCCCATGATTGACTTTGAGTATAGTTTGGAAAGGTGTGTGTGGTGAGGGAGGCAGAAATTACTTTACAGTGTTAGAATCTGAAAAATGCTGTATCGGTAGGTAATCAGATTTAATATAAAGAGTGATAAGCCATGTGGATAAAATGTACCTGTGATGTCATCAGACTAGCACTTTGCTTCTGTGATCATCCCCTCTAAAAACCATAACCCCCAACTAATCATATGAACACATCAGCTAAGCCTATACTGAGGAACATTTTACAAATAACTGGTATTCAGCAAAACTTTTCAAGTTAGCAAAAATCTATCACAGACTCCAGCATCCTAAAGAGACATGATAACTAAATGTAAGAGGCTATCATGGATGAATCAGAAAAACAGCAGTAAATGAAAACCAAGGAAATATAAGTCAAGTTTAGAACTTAGTTAATAATATTATATCATATAGATTCATTAGTTATAGTAAATTAACTAGATGAATGTAAGATTTTGACAATAGGGAGAATTGAGCATATAGAAACTCTGTACTCTGCAAATTTTTGGTAAGTATAAAACTATTCAAAAGTTAAAAGTTTATTTTTATGCTGCTAATATTATCTCCCAACCTGTCAATTATCTATTAATTTTTTCCATAATTACTAGGTTGAGTAGAAATCTTAGATATGATGGTTGCTTCAACAGTGTTAGTAGTGGAAGTGAAGTGGATAGGTTTGGGAAGTATTTTAGAGGATGGTAAACTAGACGTTAAGATGAAAGAAGACAAGATATTGGGGAAAGATTCTAATAGTCTTTTCTTCAAGAATAGAGTAATTTCTAGTAGCTTCACAGTTTTCATTGTGATTGTAAATAGTAGCCTATTTGTTACTTCAATTTCTAAATGTTTAATGCTATTACAAAAAGTGCTATTGATTTTTGCATATAGATCTTGCTGCAATGGCTTAATAGTTCTAATAGTTTTTCTGCTGATTATATGGGATTTTTTGTAAATGATTAATTAATTACAAGCACTGAATGCTTATTTTTTTCGTCTTATCAACATTCTTGCTTTTCTTTTTGTATGTAATTGGATAGAATTTTCAGTGCTATTTTAAACAATACAAGTATATTAGAACATCTGCATAATTCTTAAGATTAAAAGGCTGCTTCCAAAATTTCTTCATTAAATATTGGTGTTTGTTATTTTGCTTATCTTGTAATTGGGAATAGGGCTGAGGAAAGATAATGTTTGTATGATTAATTCTTAGTTTTTAAAGACATTTTAAAAAATTTCAAATGGACATTATACATCACCATTCTGTGTATTTTTCTGATTATGTTGAGGTGATCACATGAGGTTTCCCCTACAAATTATTAGTGTGATAAATTGTTATTACATTATCTGATATTGACTGTCTTTCCATTCCTGAAATAAATCCTCTTTAATTCATGGTGTGTTTTAAAAACATGCCAATCATTTTGTTAGACAATTAGTAATTAGGAAATTTTAACCTATGTTCAAAGGAGAAATTGGTTTATATTTGTACATTCACTTGCCATTGTATTTTCATCTTGTTATGGTATTATACTGGATATTGTTTCATTTACCTTTCCAAATGTACTCTCTATTATTCTTCCTCCTGCTCTGTGTCTTGGCTGATGACTACATGGATTCCACTAAAGGGCTCCTTTGCCCTCTAGCCTCTGGTAAGTTTCAGTGATCTCCTTATGACCAGGGATTTAAGGACGGGAGATGAGTGAGGTCTGAATGTTGACTCCCTCCAATTCCCTTTCTGTTAGATTGTGGGGTTCAATGCATCCCTCTACCAGGGGTTTCAGCTGCACTCTGGATTTTGTCAATAATTTCCTCAAAGTGTCCTTTCAAGGGTGGGGAGCTTTTTATGTGCCAAGGGCCATTTGTATATTTATAACACAATTCGTGAGCCATAAAAAAATTTCAACTTAAAAATTAGCCTGCTATTAATTTACTGAATTTTGAGCCCAGCCTGCAGTTGCCTCGGCAGGGGCAGACCAAATGATTTTTGTGGGACTGATATGGCCCGTGGGCCTAATGTTTCCCATCCTTGAAAAAGACAGACGTTTGTTCTTCTGTTATAAACCTGGGAACAAAGCTTCCATTTTGATTTTATTAATGCCAACTCATACCACTGTGAAGAGTCCCTTCGTTAAAGTCTCCTACATCCCCCAGTGTGAAGGAGCTGGCTGCTTCTGACTGAAACTCTGACTAATCAGTTATCAACAGGTACACTCATTTTGAAAACTGACATGTAAATCCTGTTTTCTTGTCTGCTTTGAGAAATAAATTCTGTTGAATACACCAATATCCCTTGAAAGTTGTGTAGAACTCATCTATAAAAACCACATTTTTAGTAGGACGAATAAAGTAGTAATTATTCTGCACAGATTTTCCACTTCTATGTCCATTTTAGAGTATGCATATTGCAAAATATCAGGATTTCAACTTACTGGTATTTAACAGTTCCTTACATTTGTCTATAAATTTTGGATGTTTTTCATATCTTTGCTGATTTTCTATCTTGTCAAATATTTTACTTATTTTCATATTTTTAATTTTTTGGCAAATTTGTAAAAAGTTTGTCTTTCGCAATGTCTTTTCAAATAGCCAGCTTTTGCTTTTGAAAAAAAATTAACTTAAAGATTTTCTGGTTTTCTCTGTCATCGGTTTATCCATAGCTTCAAAAACTTATTTCCTTCACACATATGATAAAATGGATAAGTGAATTTAAATTACAAGTGTTTAGAATATCAAGAAAGGAGATAAATTTTATGTTTTGTTAGGGGAAACAGTTTTAAACTTCCTAAAATAATCAAAACATTTAATGCAGTATTGCATTATACATATTACAGAGAGATTAATTTTATCTTTTTTTTTTTTTGACAGAGTGGACAGTGAGAGAGAGAGAGAGACAGAGAGAAAGGTCTTCCTTTGCCATTGGTTCACCCTCCAATGGCCACCGCGGCCGGCGCACCGCGCTGATCCAATACCAGGGGCCAAGTACTTATCCTGGTCTCCCACTGGGTGCAGGGCCCAAGCACTTGGGCCATCCTCCACTGCCTTCCCGGGCCACAGCAGAGAGCTGGCCTGGAAGAGGGGCAACCGGGACAGAATCCGGTGGCCCGACTGGGACTAGAACCCGGTGTGCTGGCACTGCAAGGCGGAGGATTAGCCTAGTGAGCCGCAGGCGCCGGCCTCAATTTTATCTTAATGTTTTGTCACCATTGATTTTGGAATGTTTGAATTAACCAACAACATGTAAATGATAAAACATGTTTAATTAGCTAGAAAATCCATTACGAATATTGCTAAGACAACCTGCAAGGTATAAATGTAACCACCAATTCTGTAGTCACACCTGATGTGCCCCTTCAGAGTTTCTCAGTCTCATTTGCCTTCCTCACCTTGCTCTGCATGGGCTGAGTACCCAGGACTCAGCCAGCTGAGTGGAGCAGGCGTGGATCTGAAGTATCACTTCTAAATTTGGACAAAATACCCAACTACAAATGTTTTCCAGTGGCAACCAAAGCAATCAGATAAAACCATCAAAAAACAAAGCCCATTTATGTAGGAGGGGTAATTCCCTGTGCAGTGAAATGTGTCTAAGGTGACGAGGGCAGGGAGAGAGCCAGCAGATATGATTCTTTTGCTTACTTCTGAAAAAATGTCTGAGACATGATTTTCCTCAGCCTCTTCTGAGTCTTCATGGGATGGGGGCTACTGCATGTGAAGCGGGCTTCCTTGCTGTGATTTGGTAGCACAGTTATTTTCTACCTTGCTTTTGCTGCCCCACCTGCCCCCATCACTTCTCTCCTACTTCATTCTTACTTGCCTAAGACCACTTCTTACCTCAACTTTGTCATTTGAGCATTTTTTGACTCTCTTCTTTGGGGAAGACTGACAAGACAGATACTATATCAATCACACATCATCCAACAAGAAATTCAATGAGGATTAGGGCTTCCTTTCTGCCAGGGAAGGACAATTACTTACTTTCTACTGGGGGGGAAAAAAACTAGTTTTGGGGATTCCTGATTTTGAGCTCTTTTCCACTTTCTAGCATTGGCAGTGTAACAAGGGGAATAGCAACAAGGTTAGTCCAATCTGAACTTTGTGGTCATCTCAGTTACCTCACCTACAATAATAACCCTATGAGCAAAGGGTGGTACTCAGATCACTGGACAAGTCTGTAACTTCTGAACAATTCATCCATGATTGTTTCAGAGCTCTGTTATACCTTCTAGAAAAAGAAAAGCTTCTTCCCTACATTTTCATGGATATGCAATATTCTAGTTAAAATCACTCCCCTAACGGTAACTCTGCATATATCTGGATCTTCAAAAATCTCCTAAGACATAGCTTTTGCTATAGGTCATGCGAACCTTGAAGAAAATACAATGTCAAGAAGATGTTTTAAAATACAAATCCGTGAAAATCAGAGCCATAATCAGCCACAATACCACTTCACACTCACTAAAGTAAGTACAGTAATAAGTTTAAAAGAAAAAAGAAATGCCAAAACAGAACCCAAGTGTTGGTGAGGATGTCAAGAAGAAATTGGAATTCTTGTACATTGTTAGGAATGCAAATGTTGCAACCACTGTGAAAACCAGACTGATGGCTCTTCAATGAGGTAAACCTAGAATTAACATGCAGCCCAGCATTTCAACTCTTTTTTAAAATTTTATTTAGACCAGCGCCGCGGCTCACTAGGCTAATCCTCCACCTTGCAGCACCGGCACACTGGGTTCTAGTTCCAGTCGGGCCACCGGATTCTGTCCCGGTTGCCCCTCTTCCAGGCCAGCTCTCTGCTGTGGCCCGGGAAGGCAGTGGAGGATGGCCCAAGTGCTTGGGCCCTGCACCCAGTGGGAGACCAGGAGAAGCACCTGGCTCCTGGCTCCTGCCATCGGATCAGTGCGGTGCGCTGGCTGCGGTGCGCCGGCCACAGCGCGCTGGCCGCGGCGGCCATTGGATGGTGAACCAACGGCAAAGGAAGACCTTTCTCTCTGTCTCTCTCTCTCTCACTGTCCACTCTGCCTGTCTTATTTAAGGTATACACATTTGATATATTTCATATTATACAAATTTAGGGACATAGTGATTCTTCCCAATCTACCTTCCCTACCTACCTTCCCTCCCACCCATGCAACTCTTGGGTATATACTTGAACTAAAAACAGGTGGTCAAGCAAAAATCTGCAGAATGATACTCATAGTAGCAGTATTCATAATAGCCTAAAGATGGAAATGCTCAAATATTGATCACCTAATGTATGGATAAAGAAAATGTGGCACAATAGAAAAGTTTTCAGCCATACAAAGGAGTGAAGGACTCATACATGCTACAACATAGATGAACTTCAAAGCTTTATTCTAAGTGAAACAAAACAAGACACAGGACGCATGTATGCTTCCATTTACATGAAAAATCCAGAATAGGCAAATCTATAGAGAAAGAAAGCAGAATTATTGGTTACTTTGAGCTGGGAGGAGAGAGAATTGGGGAGTGACAACCTCTAGTGTATATGATTTTCTTTTAAGGTAATGAAAATATTCTGAAATTAGGTAATGGTGATGGTTGTTGAACACTATGAATATATAAAATGCTAGCCTTGGTGAATATTATGTTAGATGTGGTTTACCACAAGAGAAAAATAAATAAAAATGAATGTATTTATCTGACTCTATCCCATATGAGCTTTAAAAATTCTTGCTCCTTTCCTATAATCTTTCCAAACTTGTTATTAAGAGTCCCTGGGGTGGGAGAATAGGGTGAAACCTATTAATTCTTGACAATTACTCAATGTTACTACTTTCTTCACCTTCAGCACTCACCAGCTGTGAGAATATGTCCTATGGCAACCAATGCTAAAACAACAGCTTTATCACAAGTGCCATGGAATATGCTAACTCAAATACTGATGCCACTTATATCCACATTGAGGCTTGGAGGCTGCCTTTTTTGTTGTCTATTTATAATCCAGCTCATTCCAAAAATGACTTTGAGCTAATGAGTGCTTCTATCAAGAACTCTTATGTCTGTACCCATCAGTGTTAGAACTCCTTAAGTAAGTGTGGTTGATACTTCGCAGAACAATTTCACAGATTTTAGTAAAACAACTATTTTAGTTGTTACTTGTTCTTTCATTGGAGATTATTGACCTACATCTCAGAATTGAAACCCTAAAATGTGTAGGGGATAGCTCTCTCCTGTTGGCATACTGGCTAGACTTTCAGTCAAGGCAACCAGTATGTGGCCCCTTGGCTCCTGGCCAGAATTATGTCCTAAGATTTTGTTCCAAGCCTGTCCTGCATGAAAACTACTCTACATCCCTTCTGTCCTTGTAATATCTCAGAAAACATGCAAGCAGTCAATAAAGGCAGATGGGGACATTCAGAAGAAACCTAATATTGATAGGGATGGAAAATCTGATTAAGACTTCTCCTACACCAAGACTATGAAAAAAAAAATCCCTCTGTGATAGCACCTTTAAAACAAACAGATTCTAGGATCTAGTATCCTTTGGGTGTGAGTCTGGACTAATAGAAATTTCAAGGTTTTATGGAAGTAGGGAAAATGTTTATTCTCCCAAAGGTCAGCAAATGGGTTCTTGTTTTCATACAAGAAAGAATGCAGATGTGAGACACAGAGTAGCAGTAAGCATGCTAGGCAAGATCATTGAAAAGAAGTATGGAGGAGAGTACCTAACAGACCAGGCAGGCATCTCGGTAAAGATCTGAGAGCACAGTCTGCATTCACACTGTGGCTTATAAGGTAGCGGCGTCCAGTTCTTCCCACCTTTTCTCCTTCCCCACTCCCTCTTCTCCTGGACAAAGGGTTCACTGGATGTGACTTCGGTAGAATTCTTCCCAAGGTGTTATTTCCCAGCATTAAATGACTGGATGAGGAGATTGCCCTAGGATGTCTTCCTTGGGAGAAGACTGTAAAGGTTTTATTTACCCAGTCTTAGCAGAGTAGCTCATCCCAGCCCGAGCAGAAAATAGTCTTTTGAGGAGCCTTGGGGTAAAGACTGGGACCACCTGTAAAGTTATCATGGTATGGGCAGGACTTTGTAGTATAAAATACCCAGTTGCTTCCAAGGTATGCTTCCTGGGCTGCTGGAGAGGCCTTTGTTTCTTTCTGCAGAAACTTTGTCTTCTATAGGCCTCTCACACACACATCAGCCAATATCTAACTTCCTACCTAATAATATGACACAAAGAGATATGCTGAAGTCATAACTAAAGCCTAAAAGGAAAAGTAGAACAACCAGCCCATGTTTAATGAAAGATAAATCGTAGACAAGACAAAAAAGAAAACTGAATGGATTTGGTGCTATGTGAATACCAAAAATTTAGTAGTTAAAAAGAAACTACTAAACTAATAATTGTAAGAGATATGATGCTAATTTATTCAACAATCATTTTTTGAAAAGCTGACACATGCTATGTTCTTCATCAAGTGTGGGGAAAGCAAAAGTGAAGACATAATTTTGCAAATGATTTTTCAGAATTCTAGGAATTGACATATATATGAAAGCATATGTCTGAAAAAAAAAACAATACAATATGATGGCTGCTTTTACACAGAGAAATGAACGAAGTGTTTTAGCAGAATTGAGGAGAGCATTATTGATTCTCTTGGATAGAGTTGCCAGAATCTTCAGTGAGAAGTTGTGGTTAAGGAAGATGGTAATATTCAGGAGCTATTGAGCAGGACAAGAGAAATGTTCATGCGTTACAGGCAATGCTGGGTGATGGTAGGTTAGAACATTTCAAACAAGAGATACAGAGACTGAAACAAAAACTAAGTATTTCAAAGCCGGATTCTTATCACTATCATCTTCACTGCATTCACAGTTAGCAATAAGCTGCCAAAGAAATGAAAAGTGCACAAGAGCTCCACAGCATGGCCTCTCAGTTTTATCCCCATAATTTCCTATATGAAGAATGTTTGTATACTTTAACACTGGCTATAGTACTCCCATTTCTCATCTTCTTCTTCCTGGTCTGGCTTAATTACAAAGTTGTCTTGTTCATTTTCTCTATTGCTTCATTGATTAATTGTTTCCAACTTCTATTGCAGTGTGTGAGTGAGTGAGTGAATGCGTGTGTTAGTTGGTTGTTTTCTGATCACTGAGTTAACAAAGAGACCAAGTTTGATTTAAGCAAAATTTGTCTCTTCATATGTCACTTTTTCTCTCTAGGTTAGTCTTTGTCGGCCCCTTGAATCTCCTTGCATAAAGATTTATTAATAATTTATGTTCAAAGCATTCTTCCTCCCAAGCAGTATTAACATCCTGATGGAAATTAGAATAAAAATGTGTCTATAATGGATGATAGAAAAAAACACTTGGGGGGAGGGTGAGTCTTTAGGATTCCATTCAGCACCATGTTGCAGACACTTATTCTCCCTTATTTAATGTGAACTTTATGAATATTTGCTTTTGAGAGACAGAGAGGGAGAGAAGGATGGAGGGAGCGAGGGAGGGAGAGAGAGAAATTGATCTGATCTTCCATCTCCTGATTCACTCCCTCAATGGCCACAACAGCCTGAGCTGGGCCAGGCCATATGCAGGAGCCATGAACTCCAACTTGTTCTGCCACATGAGTTGGAGGGACCTAAATACTTCCACCATCTTCTGCTGCCTTCTCAGATACATGTAATACCGATTTGAATACAAACTCTCTGTAATTTACAATTTTTTTTTTTTTTTTTGGATAGGCAGAGTGGACAGTGAGAGAGGCAGAGAGAAAGGTTTTCCTTTTTGCCATTGGTTCACCCTCCAATGGCCACCATGGCCGGCGTGCTGCGGCCAGCGCACCGCGCTGATCCGATGGCAGGAGCCAGGTGCTTCTCCTGGTCTCTCATGGGGTGCAGGGCACAAGCACTTGGGCCATACTCCACTGCCTTCCCAGGCCACAGCAGAGAGCTGGCCTGAAAGAGGGGCAACCGGGAAAGAATCCAGTGCCCCGACTGGGACCAGAACCCGGTGTGCTGGTGCCGCTAGGTGGAGGATTAGCCTATTGAGCTGTGGCGCCGGCCTTTAATTTACAACTAAAGCTTTAATTCATACATCAATTTACTATCAAAATTAGTAATAACATTATCTTGTGCTGATCAAGAATTTTACTCTTATTAAGCATTTTACAAGCCTGATCTTAATTAATCCTTCATAATAGCCATTGATGTTGCATTTGTTATTATCCCTATTTTAGAGATGGGGCATCTGAAACTCAGTGAGAAATTAAGTGGCATGTTTCAGTGACAACAGCTAGTAAGTAGCAAATTCTTTACTTGTATTTAAGCATTTCATTGATCAGTTGATTGCTTTTTTTTCTCCACCCCTTTTATATTCTGTTCTTTGCTCCCCTCCATATTTTTCACCAACTAGTGCAGGGCCCATGATCAGAGATAATAACTCAGGATGTGTGGGTCCACATACTGACATGTGTAGACTACTAAGTCTTCAATGAAAAGTAATTATTACTGAAGGGAAGTACACTTGGTTATCATTCGTGGTAGTTTTATTCTATAAAGCCACTGTAAACAATGAGTTTGCAAATACTGAAACCATTATTCACAGAAAAAATACAGGGTTAGATTCCTAAGAGCTTTTTTTCACAATGTTTTTTCCAATTAATCAATTTGTAACTTTGTTTTATGTATGTTTGTGTTTAAAAGCACGTTATTTCATATATATTGCAAATTCATTAGGGACTGACTCATGGTCAATAGCTCTGTGGCTTATGCTTGAGGGAAGCTTATCTAACACATGTATTTTCTCTGTGAGGCACACCAAATCTTTCTCATACTGTAGAACTCTTAGGAAGCACTCCAGTAGTTCTCAACTGGTGAAATCACTACCCAAAGTTAAAAAGCACAAAAATGCAAAAAAACATGGTACTAAATTGACCATGAGAAAGATATTTGCTTACAGTATGAAACTGAAATCAGAGTTGTCACCTGTTTCAGCCTCAGCTGGGAACATGCATGTTGAGTGACTCACATCTATTGCTACTCTGCACATGTCTGTGA